AGTTTTGGGGGGGGGGGGGGTTAGCAGCTGTAAGCAGCCTTAGGAACTAACTAGCTCCGAGAAACAACAAACAAGGCAATTTTAGAAAGCCATTTTTAAAAACTGCAGTAAACATTAAGGTATATCAGGGCAGCCTTCAACCTCAGTGGCTGGAATCAGCATTTTTGGACCTGATGCTGAGCGCATCTACATGAGGCTCAACTAGCTCTGCAGTGAAGTTTTAACGTCTACACATGCGGTGCAATCAGGCCACAGGAAACTAACTCTGACGCAGGTTAGTATTTGTAACTACAAGTATTATTCCGACGCAGAGTTCTTCACTGCGCAGCTCCGCACATGTTGATGCCGACAGGGCTGGCTGGGGCATGAGGCTGCTTCAGTGCAGGAGTTGCCTGTTGGCTAGCCCTGCACTCGAGCACCCTCGTGCCCCAGCCAGCCCCCCTGCAGCAGGTTGAGCTGGGTCGGAGCAGCCCTGGGCTGGCAGGCTGACCCTCAGGACCCTTGCCAGCTGGGGCTGCTCTAACCTAGCTTAATGTGCTGCAGTCCCAGGAGAACAAGACGACAATATGCACTGAAATTTATTGCTTTGCATTATTTGCAGATGTAGATGCACCCACTCAGATATGCCAAATGCTGCTCTGCCTTGCCATTAGGGATAGAAGTGCTCAGCAACTCTGATAGCATGCCGCTGAAGAAAACGCATGAAAAATATTAGATGCGATTAATTAGAATTACACAGTACAGTCCAATTCCTCTCTCTTTGAAGTTAGCAAGGGTTTTCCCATTAACTTCACTGCAATCAGGGACAAATACCTGGCTGCAACACACAAGTTTTAGGCAGGTTCATTCTTCATCACCTGTTCACCTTAAAGCTCAAGCATTATTTTAGCTTTCTATTCCAAAGATACTGAAAGACAGTTGAAACTGCCACTGTATACTGCTGTTCATCAGGATAAGTCAAGAAAAAAACAATCATCTAGAACGTGATGCTATCACAACACACTCGTTCACACTGGGTGGGTCTACATGCAATATGAGTGCGACACAAACTCCGGCACAGTTCACACCAGAGTTTATTGCTCCCACGTGCAATTATTTACACGTGCACCTGAGATCACGGTACGTTGAGCTGGGGCAGCCAGCACAGCCTCAGCTGGTAGAAGGCCTTGGGGGTGGAGGGCAGGGGTGGTCAGAATGCCAGCCCAGAGCGCTCCCCCCCCCCGCTCAACATGCTGCAGAGGGACTGGCTGGGGGGCACGGTTGCTACAGTGCAGGACTAGCCAGCAGGCAGCCAGACCCAGTCACCGTCTACATATGCATTAAGGCGGAGGAAATAACCCTGCCATTGAATAGTACTTGTGTTGGGCAGTACCATCCTATGGCAAGTTAATTAGTTTACTCCAGTCTAAGAGCACCACTCATGTAAACAGTGACACTTTACTGCAGAGCTAATTAGGTAATTCTGCAGTAAGCTTCTATTGTAGATGCACCCACTGTAAAAAGGCAGGTAAAGCAGAACTACTGTGAAAACATACACAACATGAATTTTCATTAGTTTTTTTAATACAAAAATGAACTTTCTATTTATTTTTTACATGGGAATATGAAATACTTCCTACACACCAGACTACCTTCTCTGAACAACAGATTATTTTAAAGAACAGCAATAAGACTCCACATCCCACTACATAATGCAGGTGGATAAACGACAATTAACTGAAGATCAAAATCTCATTCTCCTTACATGTGGTCTGCTTTAATTTCTCAGTATTTAAGCATTTTCTGGTTGAAGTGTAAGGAAATTCTATCCACCACTGCAAATTTACGCTTAACAGTTAATAATTTAGTTGTTCTAAAAACTCAAAACTTCCTCTCTGTTGACCTAAAGTGATAAGGAAGTGATATATTTTAAAAATCAAAGTCTTTACTGAGAAACCTCTGATAAGCTTATAGTTACCCGAGTAATTTTAGAGTTATGTGGTTTAACTTCACAAGAATAATTGGCAAAATGTAAATTGAAGAAAGCTAATTCATTTAACCATCTCTTTATTGAATTCAAGTAACATAGTTTCCTCCACTCATTCCTTGTCTTTGGTTGGTATGTGGGTGTGAAAAAATCTAAATAAAGTGACTTTTCTTTGACCCTGACACCCACTCCTCTTGGTGGAACCAGTCACCACAAAGTTACTCAAGTAGTTTAAGTGCTTAACCTGAGACCCAAGTGAAGCAATGAATAAAAGGAGATGTGGTGTAATGGTATACTCTCCTTTTTTTTTTTTTTTTTTTTTTTTTTTTT